GAAATAAAAAAATAAAATGAAAAATAAATAGAGAAAGGGGGACGTACCTGCTTGTCGTCATAACCAGTGTGCAGTGTGCGTGGAAAACACAGGACACAGGTCGGACTGCACACGCCACGGAGTGAAGAGCAGTGAAAAAAGTGATCGCTCATTTGAAAAGTAGTGAACGTTCACCAAAGTGGATTTGGGGGTCAACTGCCGTGTTGCCCCCCACCTTCCCAGATGCCAATGCATGCCTGTAACTGTGATCCGAGGCGCGCATCCTGTTTTAAAAAGAAGTGGTGCCTGTTAACCTGTTGTGTGTTGCATATAACCTTGACAACTGCAACATTAATATTTGTACAATTGTGGTTATGCTGTACGGAATAGTATCAAATATCAGTTCAGTTTCCCATTTTCCCATTTTGATTGAAATTTTCAGGGCACCGAGCACGAGCAGGCAGGCAGGCAGAAGCGAGCACCGTAGTATCGCCGCCATCCGCTTGGCAACCGGACGGACGGCGTTCCCCGTCTCTGCATTCCAATCCAATTCCAAAAATGCATACGTGCGTCGGTGGATCTCGCGTTCCAAACAATGAAGGAGATGTTCAGCCAAAATTTGATTGCGAAACACTTCCGTTCTTTCCTCACAAATCGACGCAATCCACCATATATAGTTCCAGCATTGCAGCACCCCGGATCAGCCAGCTCCGCCATCCTCGTCGTCGATCCGATCCAATCCAACCAACCTCGCCGTTACACCGTCGCAATACGTACGTGGGTGGGCACGGTCATCACACCACAACATGGCCGGCACCACGGCGGCGGTGGCCGCCGTCGTGTCGAAGCTGGACGCCCTGCTGCAGGAGGCCGAGGAGCAGCACCGCCGCAACGGCCTGCCGCGAGGGGCCAGGCGAGGCGCCGCCTCCATCAGGACCGACCTCCTGGCGGCGCTGTCCATCGTGTCCAAGGTCTCGGCGGACGAGGACCGGGCCGACCTGCGCTGGCAGCTGGCGCACGGAGGAATACGCCAGCAGGTCGATCGCGCCGTCCGGGAGATGACGGCGGCGGCGCCGCCAGAGCATCACCGCGCGAGGTCCAGGGCGCTTCGGGAGCTGTGCCACGGTTACGGATACGGATACGGATACGACGTGGCGGCGGACGACTCCCTCGACGCGTCGCCGTCGCCGTCGGCGGCACGGCCAGGGTACAGCGCGAGGACGCTCCGGGAGCTCTGCCCTCTGCTACGACACGGAGGACTTCCTCGACGATTTCTCTCTCGTGCTCCCCGTGGACAGGAGGAGGCGCCCGACGGCGCTGACGACGCGCGGGCGGGGGCCGTTCTTGTTCCCGAGCGCCAGGAACTGGTGGGCCATGGCAAAGGAGGCCCGCCGTGTCCACAGGAAGCTCTCCGACGTCGAGCTTCGCGCGACGGAGGCCACCAAGCGGCTCTTTGCTGAGCTGAATACTAGCAGCACCAGGACGGCGTAAGATGCCAACGCTGCGGCTAGTATCGTGCCCGCGGTGGTGGAGGACGATCCTCCCTGTCCCGGTGGTGGTGGTGGTGCTGGTGCCGGCGGCGGCGCTCGTCGGTGTGGACGGCAAGCGGGACGAGCTGGCCAGGATGTTGCTCATGGGCGAAGGTGGTGATGGGGAAGCGGCATCGTCGGAGCGCCAGGTGGTGGTCATTGTTGGAGACGCGGGATGGGCAAGACCACGCTTGCTCACAAGATGTACCGCGCCATCGGTGGCCACTTCGACTACCGGGCTTGGGTGTCGGCGTCGGAGAACTGCAGCTGGCAATCAGTACTGGCCGACATACTTGGCCAGGTCAAGGACCCGCGCGGCGGCGGCGGCTTCGCCTTCTTCTGTAAGGACGATGAGAAGCTCATCAACAGGTCCCTAGAACATAAAAGGTGCGTACTCACAAGTCAAAGTTCCTTTAAGTTTAACTAAATTTATATTATAGCATTTCATGTCTCTAAATAGGTTTAGGATTTGCTAAATTTCATGTGTCTGAATTTTAGTTTCTTTCATGTGGCGGTTATTGCATAGTTATACTAAAATTCAGTTTTAGTTCATTGTAATTTCTGTAGGCACAATCTGCAATTTTTTGTTTTGAGGAAAAAAAAATTTAGACAAAGCACAAACCTAACAAAATCTGATATGTGTTGGCACAAAGATAATTTAATAATTTACAATTATTTCTATAGTCAGACAAAGACAAAAAATTTAATATGTTATGGCACAAAGACAAATAACAAATCACAAAAGTAACAATTTACTTGTACTAATTGGTAGCACAAGAGTGTTGCTTGAAATTATCTTAAAATTCAGGCACCTGAAATATAGAAGAAGTGTTTTTTTAAATCAATTTTATCAAATTTAAAAATTGTTTAACTCCTCAAGAAATGAGAATCGTGTATTTTTTTTTTTTTTTGATGGAAGGAGTATCGTGCTTTATCTTCCACAAATTGTTATTCTCTTGTCATGAAAGAATGCACAATAATGGTGTTTGCTGACACATCATCCACACTGAAATTTGCAACAGGTATCTAATTGTCCTGGACGACATGTGTCTAGTAGACGGCTGGAATCTCTGTTTTCCGTGGAACAGGTTGGGCAGCAGGATCCTCATCACGGCTAAGGATAAAAACGGTCTAACTCGGTCGAAAAACTCATCAACCGTTTTCTACTTTTACATTTAAAATACGAAAGCGAAAGTGAAAGCGGACAAGCCGGACACGAAAACGAGCACGAAATTACGGAATATCTAGAATTTCGGAAACGAACCAATTCGAGCGGAATTATGTCGAACACGGTCGGTATGCGAAAATTCAATACGAAATACCGACCCACAGTGCATAGCATTAAACAAGTGCACGACCAAATACATAACAAGTTCACAACTAACAAGTGCATGATCTAGTTTAAGTGCATATCATTAAACAAGTGCACGACCAAATACATAATAAGAGAGATGAGGCTGGGCGCCGTCTATAAGAGAGGGCAGCTAGCCACCAGTAGAAAGAACGCAGGTGCGTGGTGAGCAGCCTGTAATTGGGCTATATGACCTGTGTAGTTGGCCAAATTCGGTTTAAACCGAATTTTGAATTCGGAATATTTCAAATTAAAAGTAGAAAAATAGGAAACGGTCGAAAAATGTGTAAACCGTTTTCTACTTTTACATTTGAAATACGAAACATCTCAAATACGAAAGAAAAACGGTAAAGTCGGACAAGAAAATGATGTGGTTCGGTTCGGAATATTTCCGGTCACCCGTTTCTACTACATGTCCAGCCTCACGGGGGACTACGCGAGGCTGCTGTTCCACAGGAGAGTCTTCGGTTCAGAGGACAGGTGCCCTCCGGAACTGGCACAGGTCGCCGACCAAGTCCTGAGGCAATGCCATGGCTCGCCGCTGGCCATCACCGTCATGTCGGGCTTACTGGCGAACAAGCCGCGCACGAGGCCTGTATGGGAAGGCATCTGCAGCTGCGTTGGTCTAAGCACCAGCAGCAGCAGCGGGACGGAAGAGATCTGTCTCCTGGGTTACTATGCTCTTCCCCACTACCTGAAGACCTGCTTGGTGTACCTGAGTAGTGTGTTTCCGGCGGATCGCCCCATCAGCCGTGACCGTACGGTGAGCAGCTGGATCGCTGAAAGGTTTGTCTCTGAAGAACATGGTGAGATGACACTGGAGGAAGCAGGGCAGAGCTACTTTGATGATCTCGTCAGCAGAAACATGGTCCAGCCGGCATGTCGCGGTCATGGGTATTATGAAGGTAAACCAGAGGTTTATACGATCCATGGCCTCGTCAGACGCATATTAACTCGAGAGAAGAATTTTGCCACCTTGTTGGACAATGGAAAGCACGCGTCCGAGTCGGGCGGCGAATTAACTCGGATTCGGCGGCTATCTGTTAGAAATGCTGAGAAAGATGTTGGCGTCCCGGAATCAATGGACATATCTCATACCCGCTCACTGTTTATCTTTGGCGGTGCTCTGCCGAAACTTTCCTTCGGGGATTTCATCTTTCTGAGGATACTGGACTTGGAGGGCTGCGACGACTTGGAGAACCGACATGTCGTGGAGATTGCGGAGGGACATTCATCTAAGGTGCTTGAGCATAAGGGACACGGCCATAAGCCAACTCCTTCACCAGATTTGCCAGCTACAGCACCTGGCAACGCTAAATCTTCGTGGTCCGTCAGAACAAGAGCTTCCTGCGAGCGTCGTGTATCTTCACTCTTCAGAGGCTGAAACATCTGCTTTGTGATAAGATGAGGTTGCAGGAGTGGATCGGGAAGGTTGCGGAGCTTTCTCATTTGGCACGGCTTGACATTTTTCAGAGCAGAACAGTTGCCATGGAGGGACTTGGCAACCTTTCTGAACTGACAGAGCTGGGGATATGGTGGTCTCCTTGTGCAGGAGAATTCAACGATACCGAGAGATACGAGCAGTTTGCCTTCTCGATTTTATAAGAAACACATGGCTTTTCTATCAGCATTGACCAGTTCATGTGCCTCAAGCAAATTGAAATCAGAATCGACGGCAAGCAGGGTGTGGCGGGTGCGTCCAAGTTGTTCAAAGCCCAAAATATTGCTATCAGGAATGCTGCTGGACATTCAAATCTAACACATATCTTTCGCGTTCACACTGGTCTTTGAGCAAATTGGATATCCATTCAAATCTAACACATAACTTTTTAAAACTAACAAATCCTCAATCTTTATTAGTAAATAGAGTTCCGGTCTCTGTAAAAACTAAAAAGTCAATACACAAAGCCATCATCAAACAAAAGCATATACACATGTAACCAAGACTTGATGTATGCAGGGCAGCATGCTTGATTCATGTTTTCTATATGGTAAAAGCAATATACATAGATGCGCTATTAGTAGCAGAGCCATATATAGACACTGAAGCCAGTCGTCGCCATTATTACCAGTTTACCACGCATACGCCAATGCACGACAGCACGACCAAGTAACACCAAGACCAAAGATATAAAGGTTCATCATTCATGCATTTGCTCGTAGGAGGAGCTGGCAGCAGAGGTAGGTGCCTGCGGGTCGATGTACGTTTCCATTTGTGCCGAAACAGAAGTAGTGTCCAATGAGTTGAGATCTGGCAGTTGCTTGCCATGTTCCAGGACGGCCATTACTTGCTCCATGCTAGGCCGCTTGTTATTATCAAGGTAGGAGCACCAGAGCCCTAGGATGAGCACAGTCTCCATTTCGCTTATACTGAACTCGCCCTTTAACCTGTCATCAGCGGCCCGCAGGAGAGACCTGTTGATGTACAGCTGCCAGACTTTTTCCCTAATAAGCATACCGCCTTGCTCGCCGCAGGCGATCTCGAGCAGGAGGATGCCAAAGCTGTAGACGTCGGAGCTACGGCTGAACTCAACCATCCCGACGGGCTTCTTACACTGTGGATCTAGGTAAGCCTCGGTTCCTACAGGGATAGTGAGGATCCTTGAACTGTCAGAATTATCAACGATCCTCGATAGGCCGAAGTCAGCAAGCTTAGCATTGAAGTTGTCATCAAGAAGTATGTTGCTTGGCTTGATATCTCTGTGCAAGATGAAGGGATCACACTCATGGTGGAGATAAAGAAGGGCATATGCGATATCCTTCACTATCTTGTACCTGATTATAGATAGAAACACAGAGCGAGGTATGTAATAAACCTTAAAAGTTGTAATAATAAGAGATATTCAATTGAAGTAAAGTACATATATATGCGAGGGAATGTACGTCTTATTGACCTTGTTTCCCATGGTAGTGTTTCCTCCTTGTGTAGGTTGTCGTGAAGGTTTCCCTTGGGTACCAATTCATAGACAAGGAAGAGCCTATTATTGGTTTTGTTCTTCCAGCACCAGCACATGAACTCAACAAAGTTGCAGCTGCTTCCCCTGCACCAACCAACGAGTTTGACGAGATTCTTGTGCTTTACAGAAGTGATAGCGTTGAGTTCGGCATAAAAATGGCTGTCGTTGTTTGGTCCTGGCACAACATTTGATTTATTCAGGATTTCCTTTACCGCTACATCACATCCCAATTTCTTCAAGTATCCTCTATAGACTACCCCAAAGAAACCTTGTCCGAGTTTCCTCTCTTCGCAGAAATTGTCTGTCGCGGCTGCCAAATCCTGATACTTGAACCGAGTAGGCCCCTGCTTCCCTTGCTTCTCAATGCCACGGTGTCTGTTTATCCACTTCCAGCAAGACAGGATAAGCCACACCACGACCACCAATAACACCAGTCCTCCAATAATAATCAATATAGTTGTCTTGTTGTCGTGACCTGTCATTGTGTGTACATATATCTATTATCTATCTATTATATTAATATAATAGAATTAAAAGGAATCCCACGTTCACCGAGAGGGTTAATGGGCCGGCACTATGCTGGCCCGATATGGCGATATGTCCCCGCTGTTGGATGTTCTCAATTAACCGAGAGCCGTTGGATTCACATAAAGTGCAATATATAAACATCAAAAACTCTAATTCGTCTCTCTCTCCTCTTCTCGGTCTTTCTCTTTTTCCCACACAAGGTGGAGTCGTCGTGGCCCCTACCGATGTGGGCGACCCCGTGGAGCACGCGCGACAGAGTCTACGCGGCTCCAATTCAATGAGCGGGCGACGACGGCTCCACAAGCGGAGGCTGCGTGTCACGGCCCATGCAGCCCAATGCATGGGCGTCGTGGCAACCGGCAATGGTGACTTGGCAAGAGGTGCAGCCTCGGGCCAGCACGGGCACATAGTGCCACCATGCCCATAGTGTCAGCACGACATAGATAAGATGTCGTAGTGCCGTGCCTAGATCGAGATGTCGGCATGGCGTGGCATGAATAAGACACTGTGACTAATAGTGCCAGTGTCGTGCTAGTGTCGTGCCACCTTTTTTTATCATCTATAGGTAGAAGATAGGATGGGAGAAGACAACACCGGTCACTGGGTAGTGGAACCAATTTACTGCTCACACAAAAATGTATCACTACCAGAATCTCGAATTACCTTGAGGGCCAAGGATTTTATTGAGTGCCAAAATCAAACCGCCAAGAAAAGTGCAGTTTTCTTGGCGGTGTACTGAACTTTCAAGGAATCATATATTCTTTGGAGGTTGAAGTAAACCACCAAGGAATATAGGTGTTTCCGGTTTCTAAGCACCTCCAAAGAAATTACTCATTTCCTTGAGTGTAATTGTAAATAGTCAAGGAAACTACTTTTTTCTTGAGTGTTATTCTTAACCGTCAAGGAAAATACCTATTTCTTTGGGTGCTATTCTAAACCGTCAAGTAAATTATTATTTTCTTGGGGTTATCAAATTTTTTTGAGATTGGCACCCAATGAAATGCTTGTAAGTACTTGACATGTTTCTAAAATACATATTATAATAATTGTGGTCTACATGATTCCTATGTGTCCCAACATAATTTTGACAAGAACTAGACACCTAATTCGTGTTATCTAGGACTTTCATTAATTTTCAAAGTGATTTGCTATTTTCTAAGGTTTAAGTGATTTTCTACGTGGTTCTAGAAAGTAACATCAACTTGAACTACACATCATATCAAACAACACGTGCTTTTTTGTCTAACTCCAAGATATGGGCTAAAGTGAAATTTATGAGCCAAAAGATATTTTTATGATTTTTTGAATATTTTTAGAGGTACAGACAATTCAATTTAGAGTTACTTTGAATAAACACACTGAAATTCATTTAAACTATAGAAAATATAAAATCTATTCAAAAAGTTTTAAAACTCTTCCACAATAACTTTATATATAGTATATTACATTTTTCATGTTACTTTAGAAGGATTTCCTACTTATTTTAAAACTAGACAAAACAACAATCTCACAATATTCAACCTAAAAATGAAGCCCGTATCATGGATGCAGCCCACCTCAGCCCATCTTAAAGCATGTTTCGCTCGTCCCATTGGATCAACCTTGGACGACTGAGATATGCCAGGCAATTACAAAACCCTAGTTGTGAGCCCTTGACTCCCTCAACCACCTCTCAGATGCCGCCAACCCCGGCCACTCCTCTCTCGGTTCCAAATCCTTCATCTTCCAAGTCCCGACGATGCCACCACCTGTCCAAACAATGCGAGTTTGCAGGGGCATGCCCCTCTAGTGGTGCGTGTTAGTCTGGGGCGAGCCCTTCCGGCGGCGCGTGCAGGTCAAGGGTGAGCCCTTCCGGCGGCGCTTGCGGGTCAGGGGCAAGCCCCTCAAGCGGCGCTTGAAGGTCAGTGGTGAGCTCCTTCGGCGGAGCTCAAAGGGAATGAGGAAGGAACAAAGTAGCATTAAGGAGCCTATTTGAAATCCCAAAGTAGTGATATTTTGACCCAGATAATGTTGTATTGCTTGATCAGTTTTTCATTTTGGTGCATAATTTATATGTAATTGAATGTAAGTTTGTAAAATTCATATTGACACATTGAATCAATATCATGGTTGGGATCCATAATAATGATCTATATGCATGTCATCGTGTGCCTGATTTTAGTGATTAGAATCTTGAAATTATTATGGCAAGAATTTTTTTTGTTGGCAGTAAGCTTTACTTGAGGGCTAGCCTCCAAGGAAATCACAATTACCTTGGAAGTCAATGGCAGCCAAGGAATCACAATTTCCTTGGAGGTTAACGGCAGCCAAGAAAACAACTATTAACTTGGCAGTCTAGATAATTTTTTTGAGGTGTTGTTGGCCCTCAAGGAAATTAATTTACTTGGCGGCTGTAACATTTTCTTGGCCCTTTGGCGAATTAAGTATGGTCCTAATTTTCTTGGTGGCCAGCCTCCAAGAAAATCATCCTTTGAGTGCCAAAACCCCCAAGGAAATTAATGTCCCTTATCTTCTATCTAGTGAATTTGTTTGACGGTTTGTGGCCAAGAACCATTTCCTTAGCGGTTTAAGCTCTTTTCTTGGCGGTTTTGGGCATTCAAGGCAAATCTGGATTTGTGGTAGTGTATAAACCTGCTAGAGAAACTAAAAATCGATGAGACGGGGCAGATATATGTGCTTCATACAATATATATATACAGAAAGCTATGAGTTAAGGGTAGTTTTAAGACAGTAACTTTCTATATAGTTTTATTATGGGGTTGTTTTACCAAAATATTGGAGAAAACTATTTTGCTAAAAATCTAAATAGAGACTTTGTTTATCTTGTTTTTGGAGTTGCTCTTGCATTATTTATCTAGCTCTTGGAGTGGCAGTGTGGATATACCAAGATTCAAAAAAATTGTATAACCAAACCATGTTTTTTTTAAATTGTTTGCATGTTTGCATCTAAGATGCACATATTTTCCGTACATAAAAAGTCACCTACAATGTACTTTAACATATAGATTTTTTATAAGACATAGGAGTACTTTGTAATATTGAATTCTGGTATACAGTTGGTATAGATCATTCTAGACTGATGATTGAACGCGTTCCTTTAAAAGTGTAAACAAGTTTGTAAGTGGTCGAAGCTTTCTTTGGTGTTTTGTTGGAAAATATGGTTGGGGATTATTTGTTATTAGTTTCCTTCTTTTAGCATTAGGAAATATCTGAAATTCACTATTACATACGTTGTCGCTCAAGAAAAAAGTATGGAGAAAACCAATAGCCCCAGCTACTTTTTCTGTAAAAAAGAAAAGAACACTAAAAAAATCTTAATCTGTTCAAATTGTAGTTCACTTGGTTGTTATTCTAAGTATTCAAATCGAAGCAGTTTTATTTATAAGCAATTTCACCAACATTTAGAATATCAAATTAATTTCATTGAACATGTTTTTAAGCAATATCAAATTTATTTATAAGCAATTTCACCAACATCTAGAATAATTTGGCTTAAAATTAAAGTAGTTTGATTTAAGACAAAACTAAACTACGCTTTCATTTGTAGTAGATGGAGCATGATATAGCGAGTGACCTGTGAAGGACATAGTATGACTAATAAAAGACAAAAAAACACGGTATTTTCTGCTTGTGTCAAGAACGCCTGTGAAGAAGTGAAGGGGCCTGTGCTCTGCTAATAGGGTTGTCAAGTGGGAAGGTACCCACCAAGATTCAAACTCTGGTGTTGTACCTTTTTCTGGATTTTTTTCTAGAAAAATTAGGATACACACGCATGCGCGTTCGATGGTATTGCGCTTAGGCTAGAGAGCCTCTCAATCTCTTCTTTACATGTGTACGGATGCGCACGCATATGTGTGCGTGTGGTGTGAGTATGGAATGTGTGGGTTGTAATAAAAAAAAACGCCAGTGAACAAAGAATAATGAGAAATCTGTGATACACAAGCAGTGCACTGCACATACCTTTACGTGGGATCGTCGGAACAAGAGTGGAGTTGAAGGACCATGCCAATATCTGATGGAGCTCAGCGACTGCGCCGGTGGACGCCGAAAACCCCACTGCCACTTCCCGCGGAAGCAACGTCCTTAGATCTGGCAGCTGAGAAGTGACCACAATTGGTTCGGGATGGGAACCAACCTTAAGGGAGGCAACTAGTATCTGGGTGATGTTATCAAATTTGACTGTCGCCGTCATGTTGCCTTCCAGCTCCAGGGGAGAGGGCAACATTGTGGTGTTCTTTGAGTGGACGGAGTTGATGTCGATGCCTATGTGGTAGTATTTAGGATCTGGGATGTCGAAGTTTTGGTAGAAGGTGTCGAACTCGACGGCGACGAACTGTTGTGGACCGTAGGGCGCGGCGTCGTTGCTCACGAGGCCGAGATTCTGCCCTTCTGAGCGTGGCGGCATGCTTGACGGGAAACCGGTGAGGAAGAACGCTATGCCGTCGCCGGGGGGCATGCTCGCCAAACTTTTGTTGAATAGGATCTGGAAGGTGAAGCTTGTGCTGAAGCTCGCCAGGGTAGTGTCGTCGTACAACGGCACCGGGTGCCTGTACGACATCCGCCCCGTGCAAGAATCGCTGCTCTGCTCGAACGAGTCGCAGGTGAGGTCGATTAGTTTGCCATTCACCTTCGCATCGCCCTCGAGCAGGATGTCTGTTGATTGGTCGTAATTGGATGGATTGGTAAAGTTGAAGCTGAAGGAGAACTGCGGAAGTGGCGAGTGTACTGCTACAGAGCTATTGTTAGTTTGCTGGGATAAGGTTGGGAGAAAGCAAGTGGAAACGAGGAGGAAGAGGAACAGAAGCTGCGCGCTGCTTGCAGCCCAGGCCATGGCACTGATCAGAATGAATGGCTTAACCGATGGGCTAGTAGGTAGCTTGTTTGCCCTGGCTGCTCCATATATGTTTATATATACCTGAACAATAGCACTGTTGTGTTTGTTATAGATCACTCTCTCAAGGACCGAATAGGCGAGTGACCAGAGGAGGATGAATGGGAGCCAATTAGAAATTTCTCCGCTCTAGCGAGAAACTTGGTCTCTATCCCAACACAACCCTGAAGCTCTCACAAACTTCAAATCTTATGACACGAGTCGACACAGGTCAACTGGTGACCACATGTACTCAAGACTGACTAGAGAACACAGCGGGAAAGACGTGGAAGAAAAACAGCGAAAGACGCAGCAAAGGGGCACCAAAACGCGACGGTGCCTAGCAAAACCGGCCTGCCTGGTTCTACGGTCCACAACAGCCCAAAACTTCCTCTACAACCGGCAAATTCGATTCAAGCGAATTCTGATTGATCCCAAATTTTGCAGGGATGCTTCTAGGGAAGTTGTGAAGGTATTCCCAAAAGATCAAAACCAACGCAAATTGAAAAATCCATCTCCGGACCGAGGTTTTCTCAATTTTTCCTCCAAAACTCATATCTATGTGTTCGTGAGGAATCTGCGAAATCTGGTTCGTAAAAACGTTCCTCAGAGGTCATATATAGCACGTATTTTCGGAGGCGGCTACTACAAATTGATACTTAGAGGTAACTCTAGATGCAGCCACCTATACAAATCCACAACTAGAAATGGATGCTGTGGAAACACCGCAATGACGTAGTCTTCAACAGTCTGCCACCATCTACCAGCCGACTTGCTACAAACTTCAGAGATGCAGCTCATCTGTGGTCGCACCGGTTCCCGGTCGCAGAACGCTCAGTAGTTGAGCTTTGGTGTAATTTAGTTGTTCCATAATGTAAGCCTAGACTGAATGTAATGGCTACCACCTCGGTATTGTGCTACTCTTGTAATTGATCTGCAGTGGTTCTTCAGCTCTAATGCAATGAAAAGGTGCCCCCCGATTACCTCAAAAAAAAATTAAGTGTTCATAGTGAATATATATAAGCGTCTATGTCTGGAAAATATAAAACTTTTGCAAAAAGACATTAGCAATGTCTCGATCCTATTATTGGTGTGATCGGTCTTATTGGCAGATTAGTGGATACCGTTTGGCCTTCCACTCAAAGGAGGGATATGTGGCAAAGCTGAATGGCAGGACCGCAGGAATCATATTCGTTCAGAGGCCACAAATGCTTTAATTATTGTAATTCCGTGTCCACACTAGCACAGGCATCTACGGCGGCAAACTTTCGCAAGTCTCGCTCACACGTACAGAGTACGTGGCCCCTCAGCACCAGCTTCTTGCTTTTGCACCGGTCTATCTGGGTGTGTGTCTCGTGTTTGCACGAGTGCGCCCAGGTGCTCATCAGTCATCACACATAGATGCATGTACCAAGTGCGCCAGGTTCTACCCGCCTTTGAGCAGATCATCGTTTTTACGCCAGCCAGTATCTGCACCTGCATTACCATGTGTGTATATAGAACTCCAGTTTGATTCACGCAGGGCCTGAGGCGCATGCCCGAGGAGGCCAGAGATAAGGGCCACGAAAAAAGTTCCACTGGTATCATTTCCTTCTTGATTGGGATCGTGGGCTGCAACGCTCTCGATCGATTTCGTGTTCAGTGTGATGCCAACAACGAACAACATACTAGATCGGAGTAACTGACTTGAGGGACGTCGGTGGCTCAAGACTCAAGAGCCAAGCCAAGGTCGTCGGTGGCTGTGACTCTGCCATGACCACAACTGTCTGTTCCCCTTTAGAGCAAGGTTATTAGATGATAATAATAACGCAGAATCTTTATACACCATCTTTCAGCTCACTGACTACCCCAGGCAACTTTTTTACTGACGGCCAGAACCGTCACGGAAAGTGGCCCAAACCATCAACCGCCAGGGACCATTTCCTGACGGCAGTTACCGTCAGGAGAGACTTCCCCTGTCGGGTTTTTCTTCTCTGTCAGGGAAAATATTTCCTGTTGGTACGACGCCATCAGGGAAGGTTCAAAGTTTCCCTGTCGCTTACAGTACCGTCAGGGAAGGTTTAAACTTTTCCTTTCAGTTACATACCGTCAAAAAAGGTCCAGTCTTCCTCTGTCAGTGCATGACCGTCAGGGAAACTTCATTCTAATGTATATAAAATCTCATTGAACTATTGAAATCAAAGCCGATCCTTTTAACCACACACCAACCAGCATCAAATGTTACACTCAACTGTCGTACATATAATCATCATCCAAGTTGTTCATGCATTAGATTGTTCAATGGTCAATAAATCTAAGCTACATTCTAAAGGCCTCGCAAAATAAGGCAGACCCAAGTTATAGTGCTATAGTTCATGCAACTAACATATAGGAAATAGATAGAAGTTTAGTAATTACTTCCTACAAGCCCTTAGACAACAATACACAGTAGCTGCTACACATCCATTCATCTCCATATCCTACAACCAAAACAAGAAAAATATAACGATTCATGAGAAATCTTGTTAAATATACAGTAAAACAATATAGTTGATTGCTTGTCCAACGTCTCTGAATTAAAAAAGTGACCATAGAGAGCACTACAAGCAGGGATGGCCACACAAGATGACAATAAAGCTGAGAAAGCAAGATCTAACCTGCTATATCTATAAAACCAGGAATATTGTAACTAAAGCAAATCTGATTATTTACTTCAGTTCACCAAATAAACCATCAGTCAAAGAACAAAGCAACCTCATACTATATTGGGGTTCATTTATGTTGTACAGAATAAATGAACATTACAGTAATCTCCAAATTCATTGTTTTGGCAATCTGATCACACTCCTAAAAAAATTCTTACACTTCCTTCAGCCGTAAGTGACAATTATCTTCAGATCCAAAAAATGATTTTCAAAGAAGCCAAATAAAACATGGAAATCATTCGGTCAATATTAAAAGGCAGGGAAGAAGGGAACCTACGGAGATAGGTGATGGTAGCAAAGTCACTGTATATGGAATTCAGATCCAAATTTGCAGCAAAGTCGCTCTATATGGCATTCAGTACAAATCTGAGGTTGAGAGTTGGAGCTCAAGCTAATATAAGTAAAGACAATGCTTCCCCTTTCCCACATTCTATAGAAGTAGCAAAATTTGCTTCTGTAAAGAACTAAAACAGTCCATATATGGTCGATAACCTGAAACATGTGAAAATAATCAACTGTAGGCATATGCATGCTTCTATTAAGTGAGGAAAGGTAAAGTAGGCATGAATATTTTTTACCTAAACTAGCTGAAAAGTGTCTTGTCCTGCAGAAGCAGTTTGATCCTTTTCACCTGCAAGAAAAGGATTCTCTTATATCTATATGGTGAAAGGAACCAAGCATTCTGTCAGCATGTATTTGAATGATTAGTTATGTTAAAACTGAACCAAGCATGAAACTTTACTAATTATACAGCTAGTATCCCTAGCCAGTGTTCATGTGTATCATGGATAAACAAAACCAATAAAGCCATCGGTTCAAGATAATTGGCACTGTTTCCTGTATGCATAATAGTAAGCTCCTTACTATCTAACTGTAGTTTAGAAAACTTCAACAAGATAGTACACTAGAACCTATCTTTAGAATCAAAATGTTCAGATTCAAAATATTGTCTGGACAGCAAAAAGAATAAGAATATGCAGTCTAAGCTGCTGCTAATTCATGCAAATGGCACCAATCATAGTATAGGCAATTGTCTGGACAGCAAAAAGAATAAGAATATGCAGTCTAAGCTGCTGCTAATTCATGCAAATGGCACCAATCATCGTATAGGCAATCTGATCACTACTGGAAACGCGTGCTTTGCCGAGGGCCAAATCTCGGGCACTCGGCAAAGACACTCTTTGCCGAGGGCCAGCCACAGGAGCCCTCGGCAAAGAACAGCCCTCGGCAAAGAGGCCTTTGCCGAGGGTCCGGCCCTCGGCAAAGACAGGCCCACGGTAAATCAAATCTTTGCCGAGGGCCGCGGCCCTCGGCAAAGATGCCCTCGGCAAATTAGGCCCGTTGGGTCACGGCGGCCATTCCCGTCAAGCTTTGCCGAGGGCCACCCGTTAGGCCCTCGGCAAAGGTTTTTTTTTTCCTGTGAAACCAGTTTTTCGGTAATTTTTTTTTTGGAACCAGTTTTTCGGCCAATTTTTTTTTATAAATCGTCTTTGCCGAGGGCCCGAGGCGAGGCCCTCGGCAAAGAAGCCCTTTGCCGAGGACTAGGCTGGGCCCGAGGCGAGGCCCTCGGCAAAGAAGCCCTTTGCTGAGGGCTAGGCTGGGCCCGAGGTAGGCCCTCGGCAAAGGTTTTTTTTTTCCTGTGAAACCAGTTTTTCGGTAATTTTTTTTTTGGAACCAGTTTTTCGGCCAATTTTTTTTTATAAATCGTCTTTGCCGAGGGCCCGAGGCGAGGCCCTCGGCAAAGAAGCCCTTTGCCGAGGGCTAGGCTAGGCCCTCGGCAAAGATTTTTTTTTGGTTTTTTTAGCCTAATTTTTTTGTGGTGCTACAATACATTGTTTTGAACTCAATTTTAAAATTTAGGCCAATTTTGACTTTTTTTTATATTTCCTTAATTTATTTCGATTCTTTGATTTTTTTCGAATATGTCAAATTTTGAATCGCAGTGCATGGAATATTGCAATGTAGTATTTCGAAAAATGTTATTCATATTAATTGGTGCATGTTGAGTCCTATCTACGAACTCGCATCAAATTTAACGCATCTTCTTCACGTAACATGATTGTGACTTGTCGAAAAAGTGTTTTAAAATTATATAAAATCCATACGAAGTCCAAAAATCACGAAACTTGGCGAGATGTCATGTTATCACATGTGTAGGCTGTGGTAAAAAATTGAGAAGGTTTCGAGCAAGTTGTTACATCGGATGCTTAATACCCAGACATCTCCACATGTGATCGCATGTGGAGATGTCTGGGTATTAGGCATCCGACATCACAA